ATAACAATGATTTTTTTTTAAAAGGCTTCAGATGCGATCCTGACACTTACAGGCTGGTAAGCCTTAACTTCGGTACCAGACAAACTGGTTGAAACTATAGCAAAGAGCAGAAGATTAGATAGATTAAGATGATATCGCTGGGAAAAAGTCAACATGGCTTTTGTAAAGAAAAATCATGCCTCACCAATCTATTAGAATTTTTTGAGATGGTCAAACAAACATGTGGACAAGGGTGATCCAATGGATGTAGTATATTTGGACTTTCAGAAAGCCTTTGACATGGTTCCTCACCATTGGCTCTTAAGCAAAGCAGGCAGTCATGGGATAAGAGGGAAGATCCTCCCATGGATCAGTAACTGGTTTAAAGATAGGAAAAAATGGGTAGGAAAAAATGGTCACTTTTCCCAGTGGAGAAGGTAAATAACGGCATCCCCCAAAGATCTGTACTGGGACTTGCGCTGTTCAACAGATTGATAAATGATTTGAAAAAAAGGGATACGCATTGAGGTGGCAAAGTTTGCTGATGATACAAAATTACTCAAGATAGTTATTCAAACCTGACTGCAAAGAGTTACAAAAGGATCTCACAAAACTGAGTGACTGGGCAACAAAATGGCAGATGAAATTCAACGTTGATAAATGCAAAATAGTGCATACTGGAAAATATAATCCCAACTACACACACAAAATGGTGGAGTCTAAATTAGCTGTTATCAAGACAGAAAGAGATCTTCTAGTTGTTGTGTATAGTTCTATGAAAACATCTTCTCAAAATGCAGTGGCAGTCAAAAAAGCTAACAATGTTAGGAACCATTAGAAAAGAGATAAGAAGACAGAAAATATCATAATGTCACTATATAATACATGGTACACCCACATCCTGAATACTGTGTGCAGTTTTGGTCACCCCTTCTAAAAAATATATTAGAATTAGAAAAAGTACAGAGAAGGCCAACAAAAATGATTAAGGGTATGGAATAGCCTCCACTTGAGTAGAGATTAAAAAGACTGGAACTGTTCAGCTCAGAAAAGAGATGACTAGGGTGGGATCTGATATAAGTCTATAAAATCATGAATGATGTGGAGAAAGTGAATAAGAAAGTGTTATTTATCCTTTCACATAACACAAGCACCAAGGGTCACCCACCAAAATTAGGCAGCAGGTTTAAAACAAATAAAAGGAAGTATTTTTTCACACAACGCACAGTCAACCTGTGGAACTCATTGCCAGCGGTTGTTGTGAAGGCCAAAAATATAACTGAGTTAAAAAAAAAAAGAATTAGATAAATTCATGGAACATAGGTCCATCAATGGCTATTAGATAAAATGGTCATGGATTCAATCCCATGCTCTGGTGTCCCTAAACCTCTGACTACCAGAACATGGGACTGGATGACATGGGATGAATCAGGGGATGAAAGTGCCCTGTTCTGTTCATTCCCTCTGAAGCATCTGGCATTGTCCACTGATAGAAGACAGGATACTGGGCTACACACACAAAACTGCATTAAAAATATTAAGTTGCAAAGTCAAAAATTCAAAAGTTAGGAAATGCCAGAATTAACATTGATGTGCAACCTTACTTAGGCTCCTTGTGTATATGCATTGATACAGGCTTTAATTATATATCACATCACACTAGTTTTTCCACAGGACCACTGCTTCCTTCATTGCACAGAAGGGACAGTACTCACTTAATGAGCACCTTTTCTATTTTTTGTTTATCCTCATTGTTCAACATGTGGCCCCAGGCCTTATTTACTGCACGCTATTCAAACCCTTCTCTGAAGACAGAATCATTAATTTCTTCATGGCCATTTCTATGGTGGTCATTAATATAGTATTGGAGAGCTTCATAAATATTAATTAATTTATCTTCACAACACTCTGGTGAGATATGAGGGTATTATCTCCACTTTATACCTGGGCAACTGAGAAACAGAGAAATTAAGGTCCAAAGGGTCCACTAATTTTGGGTGTCAAGTTGAGCTACCTAGGACCTGATTTTAGAGTATTTAGCTTTTTTTAAGCACTTTATATATTCAAAGCACAGCTCCCGTTGATTTCAGTTGCAGCTGTGAGCATGCAGCACTTCCACAAATCAGACCCCAAAGTCTCAAATCATGCACCCAGAAAATGAGGAATACACAATTAGTGACCACTTGTGAAAAGTCTGATGTAAGTGACTTGACTAGCATCACACAGGAACTCTGTGGCAGAAGCAGGTATAGAATCCAATTCTCCAGGGTAGCATTCAACTGCCTAAACCATGAGGCCATCTTTTCTCTTCCTGCCATCCCCTGCCTCATTCATTACACACCTTCCAATTTCTGCAACAAATGATAACAGACACAGATAACAGCTTCTTAGTGAAATACAACTTCCTAACGTTTGATTACTTGCCGTTGCAACTTTAATGTTCTTTTAACATAGATTGTAAGCAATTTCCTAAGTCTTTAAAAAAAAAGCAAACTGAAAAAAACAGACATTCATATTGACAGCCAGATGGTTCATCAGCACAGCTAGAACCTTCAGATCACTGCAAGACCTCTACCACTTAAGGTAATGGAGTAACTGATAGCAATAGTAGGTCATCATCCTCCATGTGGACAAGCATTACAGGGGGACAAGAGACAGATTCTGCCAGTGAATTTCAGATATTTGCTGAAAGCAGAGGAATGATGAGACTCAGGAATCTTGGGTTTCATTCCAGGCTCTGGAGGGAAGCATGCTACAGTGATCACAGCCTCTTCTGTCTACTACCCGCAAGATGGACCCCTTCACCCCAGTCCCAGTCGTCTCTTCCTCATCCCTAAATCCTCAAATCAGTCCCAGTCTATTTGCATACTCGGTCCCAATCTCCACGCCTTAGTCTTATTCCAGTCCCAATCTCTTTGCCCAGCCAGTCCCACTTCTTCCCCCATACACCAACTCCTTGTCAGATCTGTCTTCCATCCTCCCTCAACTGGTTCTCAGGCTCCTTGTGCAATCAGTCCCACTCCCTCCCTCTGACCCCACCTACTCAGCCAATCTCACTGTCTCCCTGTCCCAGTCTCCTTGTCCAACATGTCCCAATCGCCTCCTCTCCTCCAGTTTCTCTCTTCCCCTACCCCTATCTTCAATACCAGTCTCAATACCTGGCTCCTTGCCCCAATCTATTCCTTTCCCCTCCCGTTTTGTCCAGAACTTGTCCCCTCTGCATTCTTGTGAGGCAGCTTCCTCCTTCATGCTGCTTGGGCACAAGCAGAGATGTAGCAGAAAGCACAGGAGAGCCAGGCTCCCTAACGTGGCCTGGACCTACCATTACAGGGCAAGTCTGGCCTTGACCCAGTAGCCCTGGGCCAGAGAACACCCAGTTGCTTTGTGAGGATAAAAAAGCATTGCCCAGTCAAATGTAAGAGCTGTGAGGGGATGAGCATGCTCATTGAGCATAGACTCTTCAGCAATTTTAGCTTCAAAACTTTAAGAAATCTCTACTGAACATGTGCAAACTGAGATGTTTTTCAAAGGAAGTCCCTGCTCCAAATCACAGAGGTGCTAGATCTTCTCAAAGGTGGCCAGCATTTTTTTAAATAGCAAAACAGCTATTCTTGGAAATAGCTGAACCATACTGACTCAACTTTCCAAAAATATTCGGCTTGAGACAGACTCCCAGCATGGAACATTTCAGCCAGAATGGTTAAAGTTTGGCACAGTTATAATCAACTGAATACAAGGTCTTATAATAGAAAGTGACAAGTAACCTTAATGATAGCACCGTGCTACCAGCCACACTTCTAATAAGCCTGGCTTATACTGATGTAAGTGTCCACAGAGCCTTTTGCACCAGTTTAACTTAATCAATTTTCCATCATACATTTAAGGGGCCTGGACTTCTTGTTCTGTGTTTTTCAGAACCTAGCATACTGGGTTTTTGATCTATAACTGGGGCTCCTAGGTACTACCACAATGCAAATAACAACTAAATTGTTAAACCACAGCAACTTTGTGCATAGAAAAGCCCCTAGATTCTTTATCAAAAATCCTTCTGGATTAAAGAGCAGCACTGAAAGAAGCCCTATCAGGCTCTCCTGGATGGCTGTGACTATGGGACATGAGAATGGAAGAATTTGCATTTGTAACCTGGAAGCATTAAAGAGTTCCGAAGTGTTCAATTTCCAGTGGAAGTGCTTTCTTTTCCCGGTGAACGCATAGCACAGGGGAACATGTTGGGTTATGAGAGAGTTATCTATTAGAAGAACCACTAAGCAAAGTTCACCTCCTCTGATACAAATGCTCTGAGATGAGGGCACACTTGCTTCCAGAGCCCAACATACATCCCAACATGGTATCTTTTGACTCCATGGACGTTCACATTCAATCTATCTCAGGATAGAGCAAAAAGGAAAGTTTCCAGCTTGGGTGATAGGCTCCAATCTGAGCCAAGGATAAAAGGCTTAGGCCTGAGTTCAGGTATGTGGTTGGACATCCATGGACACTGGAATAATAGTCCAGAATCAGTTTATGCCTAGCCCTTGCACGGGTGTGCAGGGGGATGGAAAGAGCCTTCCGCTTCCTCCCTCACGTTACACAGACCAAACACCAGTGTGTTGCAAGGGGGCAATTGGCTTCAACTGCTTCTTTGGTGTGTCCCTGGAGGCACATATCCCACAGGGAACAGGGAGGAGCCATGTCCACACAGGCACTCTGGGATCACGCTGCAAGATCCTAAAGGATCGTACAGCCTCCAAAATCCCTGCACACTGGTAGGGCTTTTTGGAGGGATTGTGCCTCCCTGAAACACAAGCTCCAATCCTGCCCAAGGGGTGGGGTAGTATTGACTTTGATGGGGCAGGATCAGCTCTTTGGAGCTGTAGAATGTTGTCTATCAAATCCCTACTTATTGTAGGCGTAACATTTATTCACAATCATGCAAAGTGCAGACCCTGTGGAGGTCCAGTGTTTTCAGCTGAATTACCGCACACACAAAAAACACAAAACTTCAAAGTTTATGTTTCTACCTGAAGAGCCCTTCAGGGGGACAGACAGGAAATGGTCTCCAGTTTCCTTGCCATGTCTGTGTTCCTCTGTACATGAGCTGCACAGCCACTTATTGCAGTTAGTACACAGACTGTGAGCAGGTCTCTTCTCTTTACACGCAGAACAGCCCTGAAAAAAAAAAAGGTGCAATTACATACAAGTATAATTAAATGTAGAACTCCTCCAATGAGCTTGTAGAAACTACTACATTTAAGACATTGATTCAAAACCTTGGAGGTTTGGTTACTCCAATAACTGCGAGAACTGGCCCTAATTCTTTTCTCTCTTACACCAGTGTAATTCATTGACATCAATGGCATTACTCCTGGTTTATATTGGCACATGAGAGAAAACAAGATCATCCTTGGAAGTGTTTAAATCAAAGCTAAATGTCTTTCTAATATTCTCTTGTTTAAGAAATAGTTCCAGGTTTAATCACTATAGTATCCAGGACATGGTCAAGATCTTGGAGTATCACTTTGGTGATTTTACACCATTAATTGCTCCCCTAAAATGTGACATTCATGTTGGCTACCACCTGAATGCAACGGGAAACCTCTACCAAGGTCAGAATGGCTCCAAGATGCAGGGCTTGATTCTATATTCCTTTTGCACCCCAAATTCTCATTCCCTTTAGCAACATTACCAAGTCCAATTTGATCAAGCCAGTTAACAGATTTGGGCATAATTTTCAGATTTAGCTGCCTAAAGTTAGGAACCTAAATCCATGTGTAGGCACCTAATTATGAGGCCTGAATTTCAGAGGTGATGAGAATCCACAGCTCCCCATTAGGCCGTTTTTACGGAACTAGATGTCAACTTTAGACACCAAAGTCTGAAAATACTGGCCTTTATGTCTTTCTAGCAGCCTCATAATTTGAGGGCCTTATGTTGCTCCCACTGATGTCACTGGCTAAACTCCCACTGACTTCAGTGACAGCAGGATTGGGCCCTGATTTTCTCCTATTTTTCCTTTTATAAAGGCTTCACTGTTATAAGATGAGACTATTTATAAAAAAGGAACAATCTTAAAATGATGCTGGGAAGGTTCTTCATTCCCCTGTAGAATTCCTGTACTCCTGTGGGAATTGTTTTCTTTTTGAATTGCTCTTCGGAGTTTAGGGGACTGAAGAAAAGAAAAATCTTCTTACTGGAGATCTAAGAAATATCCCAGTGCCTTTGAAGAGACTAAAAGATTTATTCATTTGATTTCCTTCATACACTGGCTCTCTCTAGAAGGTAGATGAATTGAGTTATGATAATTAAGAAAACTCAGTGTAATAAGAACTTTCTAACACTGCAGCAGCATTGTGTAAATTTTGCTCTTACTATCTTTGAAGAGTATGTGTGAAAGTGATCCTTCCTGGTTTACATAATGATACATTGCATATATATAGCACCTTTCATCTGAAGATCTCAGGGTACTTTACAAACATTAGTCATTGAATTCACAAAACACCCTCTATGAGTTAGGTATGTATTTCTAGAGATGGGGAAAATGAGGCACAGGAAAGTTAAGTGACTCAGAGCAATTCAGAGGCCTTGGTAATCAACAGAAGGCTGAACAGAGATAAAACACAGGAGGCAAAGATGGTGTTTGCCTTTATGCTCTTCTCCCACTGGATCCTGGGGCCAGTCTCCAGAACAACTTAGAGCAACCTCAAGGCTTCTATAAATTGTTTTGGCTGATAACCCACAAAGGCCCATTCCATTGGCAGTGCTGGGGTGCAGCAGTGCTCTGGCTGTACCCTTGATATGTCCCCTAAGTTGGTAAAACCAGCTAAAGGAATCTCCAATGTCAGAGGAATCTTTAACTGGATATTTAAGCTGGTTTTATACCTCCCTAGAACTGACAGAGAGGCACAGAGCAGATGGAATGGGGCCATGATCTGGCTCAGAGATTTGAACCCAAGAATTCTAGCTCTCAGTCCCTAGCTCTAACCACCGGGCAACACTTTGGATTCCAGTAGAAAAAGGATAAAATAAAAGAGTCAATAGTTTGTAAAGTAGTTTTGATTCATTTAGTGCTATTTTAACTCCTTATTCCAGTGCAATATAATAATTTTCCAATGTCTTGCTTCCTCATTCAGGAAGGGTAGTATAGTGAGATAGAGAAAGCAGAAATGAACAAGAACAATTCCCCTGTGCTGCACAAATACTTAAATACAGTGAAAACAGTACAATTAAAATAGTTTAGGAGAAGATTATACATAACTAAAATACTAAATTGCAAATCAACTATTTAAAATGGCACATGAGAAGCATCTTTGTCTCCAGGCATATTGTTTACATAAGGCCATAGTGAATGGCAAAATGTCTCCAACTTCTCAGTTACGTCCATCCCAGCCTGTTGAAAGACTGAAAGTTCTGGGAGACTTCCCTCAGGACTCAGAAGAACTTTATTTATTATTATTATTATTAGACTGATATCCTCATCATTTAACAGAAGTAATCAATTTGAGACAACCCTACAACCAGTAGCCTTTGTCACTGCTTACCTGGCCCTGACAAAGGAACGGAGGATACTGAGAAACACATAGAGAAAGGGGTCCAGCATCTTGCTGGATGCATCAGATGCATTTATTACCTGAGAGTTACTTTTATAATGAATGAAGCATAATTCAAGAGTGAAACCCTAGCTTGTCACTGAGAAACCTAACTTTGGTGGTAAGTGAGAGTTAGGTTTATTTGAAAGACAATTCTACCCACTAGAAACTTGTGTTCTGTGCTACTCAGTTTGATGTTGCAACAAGTCAACATTTTCTGTGCTCCACTGTGGCTAGTGCTGTGGTGACTGACAGAAGTTTTTTTCATGCAAAACAACTGTTAAGGGAAATAGTTCCCTCCGAGGGCCAACCTAGGGGCTTAGCAGCAGGGATTTGTATTGCCACATAGTCATGCCCAGAGCCCAATCCTGCACCACTGAAGTCATTGTCAAAGCTCCCACTGACTTTAATGCCTTGCTCTTCACACAGGGTGAGAAAAGTGCTTTAGAGGCAGTATGTTCAGTCCGTGGGGATGACTGAAGAGCTGCGGTGAAATTACAATGCTATATAAAGCTACTCAAATGACATAAACTTTGGGTCTGGTTATCGGTGTTCAAAAGACTCATGCTGCAGCCTATTTAGCAGCCTCCACTTACCCTTGCCATAGCTGGATTTGCTGTGGGAAAGTCCTTGAGAAAGAAATTTTCAACTACATCCCCTGCGAAGCACGTCTGTTTGCACACAGGGCATGAGAGGATACCTGAGCAAAGAAACAGAACAGCTGTATGAATCAGGAAATGAAATAAACCACACTGAAGTACTGACAGTTCTTTGATATCACACCAAAAGGCTTAGTTCCAGGAAACTTAACTCTTCATCAACTAACGAATTACATTTGCCTAGTTTTGGGACAGTACAAAACACTACTGTGACTCTGTGGTTCTATGTTCTATGCTGCACTTATCACTGTGGTATTTGAGTGCGTTCAAATCCTTACAAGCTCTTGAAGCTCTGATAAAAACTGTTAATCCACAAGTATTTTCTTACATTACCTATTGTTCTTTTGGGACAACCTTTCATTCTCCTCTCCACTGGTGAGGCCTCAGCTGGAGTACTGTGTCCAATTCTGGGCACCACATTTTAGGAAAGGTGGATAAATTAGAGGGAGCCAAAAGGAGAGCAACAAAAATTATAAAAGTTTTAGAAAATCTGACTCATGAGGAAAGGTTAAAAAAACTGGTCATGTTTAGGTGTAAGAAAAGAAAGACTGATGGGGGACCTGACAACAGCCTTCAAATATCTTAAAGGCTGTTATAAAGAGGATGGTGATCTATTGTTCTCCATGGCCACTGAAAATAGGACAAGAAGAAAAGGGCTTCATCTGCAGCAAGAGAGATTTAGGTTAAATATTGGGAAAAACTTTCTAACTATAAGGTTAAATTCAGGAATAAGCTTCTGAGGAAGGTGGTGAAATCTCTATCATTGGATGTTTTTAAGTACATACTGGACAAACACCTGACAGGGATGGTCTAGATACACTTGGTCCTGCCTCAACGCACGGGGCTGGGCTTGATGACCTCTCAAGGTCCCTTCCAGCCCGACAGCTTTATGATTCTACAAAAAAGACTTTGGGAGTCTTAATATTCAAGGGAGTAGTTGCTATGAAATCACCAGGTAGAACAACTCATGTGAGTAAGGGGCTGTAGGACAGAGCTCTTTCTTGCCATGAAATTCAGATGGCTACTCTCTTGTCTTTTCCAGGGGAGAATGAACACTGATATTTTCTATACAAAACAATATCAGAATTCTGTGTTATGAATTCTCATACTATTGACACATTAATAAGAACTAAATCACCAGTACTATATTTTTCTGAACTATTTGCCTAAATAGACCAGGAATGTTAATGTAATTTTTTTTTTAATTCCACATATTAGTTTGAAAAGGACAAAGGATGAGATTTTCAAAAGCACCTAAGAAAAACAGGAACACAAATTCCATGGAAAGTCAATGGGACTTGTGCTTCTTATTCTCTTAGATACCTTTGAAAATCCCATCCAAAGTTCTTTAGCCAACATTAAAACCAGAACTCTTGGAAGTTAAACAAATATAACAAGAGGTTCTGCAGGCTAAGAGCTATATGTGATGGGTTGCCTCCCTTCGAGATGCCACCTAATGTGCTGAGATACCACTGAGCCCTCCTGTTCTGAAAGCCTGGGCACCCTTTTAACCTGTCTTGCTGAGCCAGGCTTTTAAGCCTCCTCTAGCACACACACAGGCAGGGCCACACCCAACTACAGAATGACACAGACACTGAGATCAGCTCTGGGAAGACTCAGCTTTAAGGGACTTGTCCCAGCACTCAGGTGTCCTCCTCCCTTGGAGTGCAGACCCAAAGGAATATTATGAAATCCACCTCCTCCCTCAATGTGGAGGAAGGTATGCACAGCCTCTTACCCCTCCCCCACAATTATGAATTGCACAAACTGGGTTATATTATAAACAAGAAATAAGTTTATTAACTACAAAAGGTGAATTTTAAGTGAATATAAGAGATAACAGACAGAACAAAGCTGATTACTGAGCGAATAAAACAAAATACGCAAGCTAAGCTCAATATACTCAAGAAACAGGTTACAAAATGTAATTTCTTACCCTAAATGTTATTTTAGACAGGTTGCAAAGTTTCTGTAGCTTAGAGTTCCAGTTATATTTCTTTTCAGACTGGACCCCGTCTCAGTCTGGACTCCCCACTTGCCTTCCCTTCAGGTGTCTTTATCAGACTTTCTTCCTGGGCAGACTGGCCATGGAGAGGAGGAGTCCCGTTTGCCTTCCTCCCCACCCTTAAATAAGGTTTATATAAGGCGGGAATCCTTTGTTTCCCAAACTTGACCATCCTCCCCTTTTAGTGGAAAGTTACCAGAAGTCCCAGGTAATGTTTAGTATCAGGTGACAGGACCACCTGACCTAGTAGTGTCACAATTACGTCCCAGGACGCCTCCCAGGAGGGAGAGAGATTAGTATCTTCACAATCTTGTTGTTTCCTCCTGATGGCTCATCAAATCTGATGGGCTGATGGGTGTCTTCCCAGTACACACCCAGTTGTAATTGTTACATATTCCTAACTTTATATACAGAAATGATACATACATAAAAATTGGATAATCACATTCAGTAAATCATAACCTTTCCAATGGTATCTTACATGAACCATCTTGCATAAAGTATATCTCAGTTATGTCATATCCATATCATAAGTATATTTCCATAAAGAATATGGAGTGTAATGTCACATTATAGAAGCACAGATTAGATAGTACATTAAGATCTCACTTCACTTCGGTTTGGTATTTATTTACTATTGAGATGCTCAAAAAGAGTCTTTAAATCTCAGGGGAAAACTTGTTTCCAGTAATGAACAAGGGCTTGATCCAAAGCTCAGTAAAATCAATGGGAATCTTTCCACTGACTTCACTGGATTTTTGTTGATGCCACTAATATTAGCTACTTTACAAACAATTTGATAAATATTCCTAATTTGATCACTTTATCCATCACCTTCCTTCTCCTGACACACTAACATTTTAGATAGCATATAGGTAGCACTCTGAACAGAGAGTAAACTCCTCACTTGAAAATTAGGCCTTGATCTCAGGTTGATCACCCAAAAAATTAGGTACGCAAAATGACCAGTGACTTTTGAAAATCTAGGCCTTGGTGCTCCAAAGCAAAACATACTACACAGGTATAGGATGCATTGGTGACATCAGGCTGCTTTCTCTTACACTGCAATTTAGAGTGGTTATTAACATAGTAAAGACCCAATTCTACACTTCTGATGTCAATGGTAGTTTTGCTGAGAGAGGGGGAAGTATAGTGATGTAAGAGGACTAGGCAGCTCATGTAAGGCCCACCTTCACTGTTCATGCCTCCATCCCCCTAAGCATGATGTCACTACGAAACACAATCTATTTTATCCACTTGTCCATTTTGACTGTGAGCTCTTCAGGCCAGGGACTCTGTTATCTGTTCAACACATCTTACCTAGCGTACAGCACCATATGCAGCTACTGCACTATGGAAAATAATAAAAGTAGTTTCAGAATGACTGTGTGCACAATGAACGATTGCTCAAGATAGAAACACACATAATATACAAACAGGTATAATATACACTGCCTTGCAATAGTTTTACATAGCAACCACTAATCAAGGTCAAACCAAAGGAGGAAATAAGCTGCCCGCAGAAACAAAAGCAGGTTTCAAGTTTCTGAGAGGTCTTTTCACTATGACAGAGCACTTAACACAACAAATACCGGAAGAGAGAAAGAAATTGCTCTACTCTGCTATCAGTGATCTCTTAATAAGTCTCAGTGTCTAAGGAATGATCATTCAGTTCCTCTCCTGACTAGTATACCAATGGGAATTTTAGTAATTACAAATGTTGGGAACCAACGTTGCCATTCAAGTAGCTATCCCAAGCTCTGAAAATGCACCACATCAATAATAACCCTAGCCAGTTCACTCATGGGCCTCTTGGAATAGGAGACTCACATTCTTGACACACTGTATGGTGGTTTTTTTTTTCCCCAAAGAGCAAAAATCCACTTTTGACTACGATGAAACCACCAAAATCATATACATGTGTGAATTATAATGGACTTGAACCTAATTCCTCAGAGATGAGGGTGGTGCATTAATCCAATAAATCTTTTTTAATCTTAGTCCTTAACTTTCAAGTGAGCATAGAATTTTGGCACTAGGCATCATCACCTCCTATCTCTTCTCAAGCAATCACTTTATGATAACTGAGGGCAATGTTTTCCAGGGCTAAATGAGGTAAATTTATTTAAATTTTTGTTTTTAGTAATGTTTTTAGACTGGTGATCAGTTATGACGTCAAACCAGAATGACGTTATTATACATGCTGTCTTTCTTAACTAAAAATATTATTCTAGAAAGAAAATGTCTTGTTTTCTATTCTAGAAAGAATAATGTAATATTAAGTTGTCCATTACTCTTGAATAACTAGAGTTGTGTCAGCGATTCTCTAAGGTTTGAATGTTTTCCAGTTGCTTAGTGTTAATTGTCCTTGGGATCTCAATCCTGCAACATTTTGTCAGATGAACATGCCTAATCACAGGCCTGATATTACAAGGTGCTGAGCATACGAAATTCCCAGGATTGGGTTTGTGTTATTTTCATAACAGCATTTTGCAGTTTAAGTAATTTGGCAGAGATTGCGCAGATAAATCAAATTCCAATATCAATGTGTGTAAATGTGCGTTGGTGGATCATTCAGTGAGATCTGTGATTAAGTTCATTTTCATTTATAAAACTTTTTAAAAACTTAAAATTTCATGCATTCTTGTCAGAAGAACAGAACTTGCCAAGAATTGTTCTCGCTATATAAAAATTATATGACTCCTTTACAGGCTCTGCTCTTGAAATAAAAGTAAAACATTTAAAACGTGTATAGTGTACTATTTTCTTAGCTCCCATTGAGGGCAAGACTGTGCCTTTGTCCTGGGTGTTTGCATGGAGGAGGAGGAGGACCTTCCCACTACCTGTGTGATTGCATAAGGCCTATTCCAGTTATAGATGGAGAGGTGTGGGATACAGGCCTGTGTACACAGGTTGTGCTGGTTACAAACCATCCCAGTAGCGAGGGGTTTGCATGCAGCTGGCACCACTGTGACGGCTTTTGGGTGTCAGTGGGGGCTTGAAGCCTGATGGAAGCCAGACAGCAGCCATAAACCC